AAACTATAGAAACTATTCATAGGAGAATTTTGGAGTTACTGAATATTGGAGAACTGACAAGTGTCTTTAACAAAAATAAATTAATTTTCTATAAGTCCTCCATTTAAGATAAAAAAAATTAAAAAATTTGGTATGTGTTTAGACCATATGTTGAAATTTTCATAATTTCCTTTGTTACTCTATCGAGTCGACTTGGTCGTCACTCTTCTACCATAAGACAAGTGTGTGTTTATTTTTGTTTTCCATATAAAATTAATGCGTAATTGTTTTTGTGAAAATACTGCGTATGTTCGAGCACATCGGTGAACCTGATAACACTTTAGATTTGGTGTTGGTTGATAAAACGGTATTCCGGTGACTTTATATTTTTCGTGCATATCACGTCTCTGATATACATATTTTTGATTTTTAGGGTGATAAAATACATGGATCAATATCAAAAGGGTTTATAACAGTTTTACATCATAAGTGAAGCAAGGAGATTCAATTATTTTGTACCGTTTTGGTGTAGTCCCTGTCATCGGAGACTTGAAGCCGACGTTGCACAATTATAAAATAATATGGAATTCTCTAACTTATTTTTCAAAGATCACTTTCTATGATAACAACAACTACCTAAGTATCGTCGAATTTGGTAACATACACAACAATCTCCGAGACCCATTGTTTTTCATTGGTATGACTTTAATTAAATTAATAAATAATAACAAAAAATATATGCTATTTTATATCTATAAATTTCTCAATGACTAACTAATCTTTTTATTAGATATAATTAGACACGTCGCAGTGATTGGAACATTTAGTCACAAATCCTCCAAGAGCCAAAGAAAGTGGGGTAATGTTTACATGGAACTCCGTAACATATCGTAAGTTTTTAAAATATGTTTCTCAATTGCAATCAATGTAATTATCAATTTTTACTACATTATATGATTATTATATGCCCAACAGAGATGCTAGATTGCAAGTGTTATTACGGAACGACTATGCACTGGACCTGATGACTGCTTTATCACGGAAAGAACACAAAATTAACATTTGTGTTATATGTTTCGTGCAACTGTTCAAATTTGCACATGGTTGAGCAGCGATAACTGCATACGATTGTACCGAAATTTTACTAAACCCTAACCTATCCGAAGTCGAGAGAATGCGGATCACAATCACGGAATCAGACGATGGTGTTATATTAAGTTTTTGAATAGTTTCTTTTTTCGTATGTTTGGTTTTCTTTTTTATTTATGTTTTCCTCATTTGACTCAATAAACGATGGTACTATATCAAAATTCTCCTCATATTATTATTTTCGTATACATTACTTTCTTCAATTTCTAAAATATATGTTTATTATATATATGCATATTTATTTTCCTAGTAAAATATTATAATACTTTTAAATCAACAACGGTATCAATGGACTATGAACACAATTTTGCATTGAAAACAAAAAGTGACACTCTTTGTAAATCAAAAACAATACGCTAAAATGAGATGCTTTGCGAAACAGGTGAAGTTTATAGATATTGAATCATTTATTTATTACAATAAAAATAAAAAATAGCTATGTTGTTCAAGTACACAACCTATAAAAAACAAAATAAATATTTAATATCTCCTACGGATACTGATCTTCATATCCATCATCCAAAGGGGTAAAATCAACTGAAGTTTCAAGCCTGGAACAATATGACAATATTATAAAATCATAAAATAGATGTCAATAGAATACATATACAGGATATAACATCAAAGATGGAATTTACATACCTCATCTTTGCTATTGCCACTTCTAGAGTAGGAGGATCTTCGAGAATATCAGATATGAATCTTTCCGATTCAACTATCCACTCATCTAATTACATATACATATTCAGTATGCATGTGGAAACAATAAATTTGTTAAACTTCTGATTAATTTCCGTATTGAATAGCTATTAATAGTTAATATTTACGTACCTCTCCACCTATTGAAAGAGAAAAATCGCAATACAATAATATGCCTTGAAGACCTATCACGATTCGTCCAAAGTTCTTCAAATTTTATTGCCAAGTTATCCCAAGCAATACATTTCAAGGAATTCCCACTGTATATATTTACACCAACATAGAAGATAAATAACATATTTTAATATATCAAGAAACCCAAGTCTGACACAAGATATTCTGAGGATAAGTTGTACTTACCCGAGATCTTCGAGTACAAAACGAATAAGTGGACGTTCTGTGGGTGTATCCGATGTATCGGACATATGAACTCCTCTTTGAAGTTTCTGAACAAAAGTGACAACCCCGAGAAGATCAACTGCAAAATCAAACAACTAAGTTAGAAAAAAATTCATTTCTCAGTTAATGAGATAAACCAAGATAATAACATGCATGTAAGATACTTACCAAGATATCGTTCTGTTCTATGAATGGACAGAAAGAGTATATTTCTCTGGAAGACTTCGGATCGGTTTTCTCAGTGACTGTATCCTCATTGATACGTATATGACAGTTGTTTGATGATATACTTGGATGTGGTAATCTGTCGGTAACTGCAAAATTACCAAGAAAATACCACTCTCCTTCGAGCAACACATCCTCGAATTGTCAAGTATTTCAAATGGCATGGTACACAGGATGCGATTGTCCTACACAGTTTTAGTAAAAAAAGAATCAATAAATGATTACATTTCCAAAACATGAACAGGGATAATCTTTTAAAATCTCATAAACTTACAAATTCATCAGCGATGACTAACATCCGATTAGGACAACCAATGAGAGTAAAATCATAATAATTTTAACTACTTGGACACAAATACGTTGCCCGCTGTTTGTCTTCTGAAGTTCAGAAACTCTATTACATGGAGACATTCTTTGTTTTTATTTAGTTTGGAGATGAAAGATAATAAAAATGAACGTTTCTTTTTATAAGACGGAGACAATGAACGGTTATGTTTTAAAACGCGTGTTTAAAATACTTTAGAAATGATGGTTATGCTTTTAAAGGCGGGTTTATATACTTAAGCAACGATTCGTCAAAACTAACAAAATTAAATGACAATTTCTAACTAAAATTAACTATTTTTTATTAATAAAAAATACGATAAATATATATAAGATCCATTTTCACATAAAAATTTATTTTATTATTTTATGATAAGGTAAATTTCCCTTCGGAGTTACAATGGATCAAATGATGGTATATTCGTTGGAAATATTCCAAAAATAAATTTATATTGAACATTTAAGGAATAATGTCAAAATTTACTATTAAAATTCTGTAATATATATATGTATATAAGCTAGGGTTGATCCGTGAGACGAAAGAAAAGAAAAACATCAATTCATAAACAGTATAAATATAACATCATTCTAACTCGAAATCCATGTTTTACTTTTTCTTATGACAGTAAACTATAGGAGACTTTTTGATAAAAAAATACAACATTAAAATAAACCCTAGTAATTTTATTAATTATAACGAAAACATTTTAGTAATCGTAATATGCCATATAAAAATATAAAATTAAATAAAAAATAAAAATAAATAACTTAAAATCCTAATGCTTAACTTATGAAATTTATAAATTGGCTAGTCCCATCGCATGACATGCATCCTTGAAGGTAGGATACACGATACCAGCAACAATCTTAATATCCTCATAAGAACATAGGCCCTTTATAACAGCCAACAAAATCCTGAGATAATAAGCCTCGTCAGATCCATCCGAACAATCTGCTATAACACTGACTCCAGGGTCACCAATGACACGTCGTCTCCATAACTTTTGCTTACGATCCCAAACAAATTGACTTGGAATTTCTGAATACGTAAGCATCCTAGCTTCCGGGTATTCTTTGTTGCAGTTCATCCAAGCCGTGAATTTAGATGTTCGATTAGAACCAAGATTTTTGCCTTCATCAGTCATCACAATCTCAGATTCAGGAAGATGGAAAGGCAACACGTTTAGACGAACACTGCTACGTGTATTTGCACCTACGAAACATAATTAGATCTAAGTTACAAACCAATATAAATATGAAAGCAGAACTTAATAAACACAAAACGATGTATAGTATACGATATCAAGTTGGATGTATAGTATATATCGCACCTGATGAGTTCATTATAGAGGTATAAAGAAAAAGTACGCAGCAAAGAATAGAATAACCCACGATATGACACTACATCTATATATAACCGAGTATTCTAGGGTTTTATTATAATTTTGACATTTTTTTCTATTGGAAATTTGACATTTTTGTTTTATTTCATAAATATTTGACATTTTTTTTTTATTTCATAAATATACGCACACGTAAATACAACAGAATAAATTTTCTCTAGAATCTTCGAGAATCATTAAAACTGAATATATAATTCATTTGCTACATATACTGGATACTTATTCGTACAAATATTATGATCGTAATATATATATCACGATATTTATTTAACTATATCGTGATATATATACATTTTATTAATTTTGATAATTATAACAAAAAAAAACGGACAGAGTTTAGATTTATATGAATCGGGTCGCATTAAAATCAGTTTTCAGAGTCACAACAGTTTCCAGGACGTTACGTATATGTGTTCAAGGATAAACCTAAATCCCAAAACAACGCTTTAAAAGGTCTATTGACCCCAGTATCATATCTAAGAGAATAATAAACGAATTATCGACATAACATCAAACTTGATAAGCATAATAAAAAAAATGCGATAAAAAATGATTTACTGACAAGATGTGAATATGCGATACACGCGACGATTGTAAACATAAAATTGAATAGAAATAAATCATTTTTAGAAAATAAAGAACAACTCTTTCAAATTGAACTCTTTCAAAACAACTCTTTCAAATTGAACTCTTTCAAATTAAATAAAAATTAAGTAAGCATAAAATCTAAATCATTAATATTCTCAATAAAAAAGGTTCTACCAAAACTCGAAACATAAAATTTAAGATAATATAATAGCGAACTCATTATCACTAAACATCCTATGACATAGAATTCTTCTTCCTTCTAGATCCAGATGTTTTGACAGGAGTAGGAATGACGTCAGGATCCTCACGATCTCTTTTAGAACTCACAGGAGCTGTCTTCTCGAGAGTAACATTTGTATTTTGTTTAACAATGTCATTAGGAGCATCACTGTCACTTTTAGAAGATGCAGGTACAATCTTCTCGATAGAAACTTCTGCATTTACATCAACACTGACATGAGGATCATCACAATCACTTTTAGAACAGGCAGGCAGAGTTTTCTCAACATATGATCCTCTATCTTCATCGACGAAGGTTTCCAAAAACGGAGGCTTAAAAAAAAAATAGCATATCAAATAAATAATCCGTTATGCATAGTTATATATCCAAATATCCAGACAAAATAAGAATCGAAAGCATACCTCAGAATAGACCTGACTACAGAACGTCTGAATCATATAGTCATCAGATGTAAACTGGTCAACCGAAAACGAATTCTTAACCTTTTTGACATTATCTTCAGTTACAACAACCTTAAAAAGGAACTCTTTTCCTTCTAGATCACGCAGTGATTGAGGCAGTCCAGACGAATTATCCTACAAAATATATTAGAAATATTTTAATTGAGGTATATAATCATAACGCTTATCAAATAAAACGATAGGTGTACCCCAACAGACTCTTCGAAAACTTCCTCGGCAGTCTTCTTAAACAATTTTTGAGCAATTTTGTCGAACACGACAAAGACTGTCGTCCCTCCAAAACCATCGTCCACGTTCAACAACAGAAAGAAACTATAAAAGAATAATTAGACAATTAGTTTTATAAATATAAAAAAATATACGACGTAATGATTATAAAAGTATGTGGACGCCGAATTCAAAGAATAGAGATTGACTACCTAGCAACAACTTCAGACTCATAAACATTACTATTGCAATTAATGCATTTCCAAGACGGCGGCGAAGGAGCATGGTCTCTCTCGGGTATAGGATGAACCTTTTTTCACACTTCTTGCATGCTATGAAATACCACGAATTACTATTGGCAACAGAGCGTATAGTCGCCAATGTCACATACTTACCAACCTGCTTATTCGAAAAAGCAACGACAACCACCGATATACAAAATTTTTTTATAAACATAAATGATAGAGTATCGCATATTCACATACCGTATCGATCGAATGTATAGAACTTAACTTTCGCCTAATATTATTTACCAAAAATTCATTGTTTAATGAATCTTTAGAATCTACACCCGAATCATCTTCGTTAGGAATGAGAATATACTTATCTTGAGGCAACCTAAACGGAAAAAATACAGAAACTAATTATAGTAGAACGAACATATGTACAAATAAAACCGTACTGTAATTCCATTGAATAGATTCTTACTCAGATCGGAATTTCGCCACAAGAGGACACACTGGATCAAACAAAATCTATGTTGTATTAAAAGCATTTGAGACGCTCATCTCACCTAAAAAGTGTAAATAAATCGGTGTATCAGAAATACATATAATCTATGATAAAACTGTTCATAATCGTCACTAAAATTGAATCAGTATAAATCATTAAGTAATATACCTCGATAGTTTTTGATACACGCAAGCCTTATAATAACCACAACGACGGATGCGCAATTACGTTTAACATAATCAGCAACTTCTTTTGCGTTATCAGCCCAAAGAGTACATGGTAATTGTAGATCGCTGTTATAATTAATACATGATCATGAGTTAAATCATATAACTAAAAAATAACACAAAATAAAATAAATTATTAAATTAGAACTAAGTATGTTACCTCTCATCCCTAAGATAAATCTTAAGTCTAGAACGCCTTTTTCCTTGAGCCATAACGTCCTCAACATGACCAACTCTTACGATTTGTCCGACCACGTCTTAGAGTTTGTAATAAAATAACACGAAACGAAAGAACCAAAACAATTACCGTGTCATAAAAAATATTAAAAAGAAAATATGCGTCTCAGTTTAGATATGTTACCGATCAAATAGCCATTGTCCAAATCAGTTGATAAAATATCTGGAAAACTTTTCATATATTTTTCAGAAACCTCTTGAGGAAAATCCAAGCATACAGAGACAGTCGTAGTTGCATAGAAAACTATCTTAAAAGGTGTTCGTGTAGTTCGATACTGAGAATTATACTCAACAACCTTAAAAGTATTGATAAGCACCGATCTCCCCTCGACCAAATCTTTACGAAAAGATTTAGCGAAAAACCTTTCAACAGTTGCTTGTATCCTATCACCCTAAGTTCCAAAGGACAATAAAAAAAAATTAACCAACAAATAATTGGCTAACCGAGATATTCATAAATTATAGGACTAACCTCTTGATCAACCAAGACCATCTCAAGTGAACACCGCCCTCTACCTTTGAATCCATCCCAAATCTTGAGGATATTAACTTTGATAACAAAGTTATCAGAGCCAGGACGTAAATCCCTAACGAAAACATTAGATGCTGATTTTCTTTTAAAAATTGACATAGTTTAGACCAGACGATATTTTAACAAAGAGAAAAAATTGGGAGAGACCAAGACGAAGAATGGGTATCTATATATATAGTAGGAGACATGATATATATATATATATATATATATTTTACTGCTTTTTAGAATATACATATATCGCAACAAAAGGTAAAGACGATCAAATCTTCTATTTTTTTTATTATAAAATATTAAAAACGATAAAATCTTCTAATTCTTTGTATAAAACAAAAAAATAATACTCAGATAATATCGATTTAGATATACTTTAACGGAAAATTAACATAATGAAGTTAAATTCAATTTAAAAAATGGCAAACATTACAGTAATTGTATATACAAAGTAGAAAATATATTTAATAGATAAGTAATTAGCAATTTAGACAAACAATTTAAGGAATTATTCCTAAACGATGTGTTTAAGTTACCAAAAACGATAATACATATCAATAATTAAGTGTAATAATAAATTAGATAAAATGGGATCAATCAAAATATCTTTACAGTTTATCATTTGTATAATTTATCCTCCGTATATAACATTTATAATTCTTAAAAAATACTCCCTCCGTTTCATAATAAGTGTCGTTTTAGATTTCATTTTTTGTTTCAAAAAGAGTGTCATTCTGCATTTTCAATGTAACTTTTTATTCTTATTTCCTGTTTTACCCCTCATTTAAAGATAATAATCTTTGTAATTAAATGTTATAAAAGTATATTAATTAGGGGTATATTTGTATATTCTATTAATTTCTTAATCTGTGTCAAATGTGTCAGAATGACACTTATTATGAAACGGAGGGAGTATATTGCATGAAAGAATAATTATTTAGTCTAAATATAAAATGAACAATTTTTATAATATATTGTAAAAATCAAGTACACACGCAGAGATATATAAGATAATTCATATGAGAAGAAAATGAAAATAACAAACTAAAAAACTGCAATGTAGTTTTACACGATATAAAAAAATGCATAGGATGTTATTCCAAGATTTATGTATTCGTGGAATAGAAATCAATATTGATCGGTTGACACCAATGCCTCCCGGAGACGTACTACTTCAGGAATAGCTGGTGGCAACATTATCCGTGTGTAATTAGCACTACAAGAAAACAATCGTTTTCCAACGGCCCATTACGACGGTTTTTAAATTGTGGCAACATTACAACGCGTTTACGACGATCTTACGTCGAATTTTAAAACCTTTCGTAAAACCGTCGTATAACAAAATCGTCGTAAACTCGACGTACAATTTACGACGAATTACGACGATTATACATCGATAACGAGAGATTTGCTAGTAAATGTAAAATCATCGTAAATTCGATGCAAAATTACGACGAATATACGACGACTTCATTTCGATGTACATATTACGACGATTTTACGTCGAAAAAGAAGTTAGGTGAAAAACATTTAAAACATGTTTACCTAACAATTGTAGATGAAAAATTTAATCGCAAAATCGTCGTAAACTCGTCGTAATATTATTGTTGAATGTAAAACCGTCGTAAAAAGTCGTCGTAAAAGCGTTGTAAAGCCCGAAATTTTCCTATAAATAGATCTTCATTCCTTCATTCAATCACAACACATCATCATTCAAACATAAGAGCATCTTCAGCTTGGAGACCCATTGTAGGTCTCTTAAATTTTAGTATAGTGTTGTAAATCCTTATATATTGGGTTGTCCATTGCTGGAAACCTGAATTAAGAGTTATATTACTTTGAAAAAAAGAAGTAATAATACTATAAGGTTAATTTACTCCATTCACGTGGCTAGACGTGACACAAGAGACTACCTCCTTTATTGTCTAATCAATAAAAAGAGATAGTATTGTGAGTTTATTTTCAAGATGTCTATATACGAGCTAAGAAGTTGGATGTATATGCGTAAAGCTTCAGATGGGGCGTTGACAGAAGAGTTCAAGAACGGGTTAGAAATATTTATGTATCAGGCTACAAATATGGAGAGAACGAAAGATAGTGGGAAGATGTTTTTTCCTTGTTTGAAATGCAAGAATACGAGGTATACACTAACCAAAACCGTGTGGACGCATTTATTAAATAGAGGGTTTATGCCGCAATATTTTGTTTGGTATCTACATGGAGAAGGATATGTCAGTAATACTCATGGGAATGATGGTAGTAGTAGTAATTATCAAAGTCTTGTTGATATTGATGAATCGAATTATGGTCATCAGCCTAATCAGTATCAATATGACCAAAGTGTAGATCATGATAGGATGCACGAAATGGTGACTGATGCATTTCATGAAACGCATACGGGTAATGCTGTTGAGGAACCTAATGTAGATGCCAAACGATTTTATGATTTGTTAGACAATGCTAATCAGCCAATCTACGAAGGATGTAGAGAAGGCTTGTCTAAATTATCGTTGGCAGCTAGGATGATGTCAATTAAAACAGATCATAACCTGGCTGAGGTTTGCATGGATGATTGGGCTGATCTTCTGAAGGAGTATCTACCGGAGGATAACTTGGCAGCGGGAACATACTATGAAATTCAGAAGTTGATTTTTAGTCTTGGTCTACCTTCTGAGATGATAGATGTATGTGTTGACAATTGTATGATTTTTTGGAAAGATGATGATCAGCTGGAGGAATGTCGATTTTGCCAAAAACCAAGATACAGGCCGCAAACTGGTAGGCGTAAAAGGATACCGTACCAACGTATGTGGTATCTCCCTATAACTGATAGGTTAAAACGGCTTTATCAATCTGAAAGGACAGCTGCATCAATGAGATGGCATGCGGAACATACACAAGTGGATGGAGAAGTTGTTCATCCATCAGATGCAAAGGCATGGAAACAATATGGTATACCCAGATTTTGCTAAGTTCAAACGGAATGTCTATCTTGGTCTGTGCACTGATGGTTTTAGTCCATTTGGTATGTCTGGTAGACAATATTCATTATGGCCAGTAATCCTAACTCCTTATAACCTTCCTCCAGATTTGTGCATGCAAAGGGAATTTCTTTTCCTAAGTATTTTGATTCCAGGTCCAAATCATCCGAAGCGAGCTCTTGATGTATTTCTTCAGCCACTCATACATGAGTTGAATCAGTTATGGTATACTGGCGTTCGTACATATGACTGTTCTACGAGGAAAAATTTTACTATGCGGGCTGTGCTTATGTGGACAATAAGCGATTTCCCCGCTTATGGTATGCTATCAGGATGGACTACACATGGGAGGCTATCTTGTCCTTATTATCTTCATTGAACTGATGCGTTTCAGCTAAAACATGGTAGAAAAACTTGTTGGTTTGATTGTCACCGGAGGTTTTTGCCGGATAACCATCCATATCGGAGGAACAAGAGGTTATTTATGAAGAACAAAAGTGTACATGTCCCTCCACCCGTTAATTTAATAGGAGCTGATATACAGGCGCAAATCGATCATTGGAGGGCAGAAGAAACAGTAACTCATGGGGGAAACTGGCACACTCCTGCAAATATGCCTGAAGGTTATGGAGTTCATCATAATTGGCACAAGAAAAGTATCTTTTGGCAACTACCTTATTGGAAAGATCATCTGCTCAGACACAATCTTGATGTCATGCACATTGAAAAAAACTTTTTTGATAACATCATGCATACAGTTATGAACGTAGCGGGAAGAACAAAAGACAATGGTAAGTCAAGATTGGACTTGCCTGATTTATGCAACAGAAGTGAGTTGCATCTACTGAGAAACGGGAAAGCACCAGTTCTTGTATTTCGGTTGAGTGCAGATCAAAAGTCAGCATTGTTCAGATGGGTTTCTTCTGACGTTAAATTTCCTGATGGGTATGTCTCTAATCTTTCCAAATCTGTTGAGAAGGGGGTAAAGTTTGCTGGGATGAAAAGCCATGACTGCCATGTGTTTATGCAAGGATTATTTCCATTTGCATTTGCTGAACTCTTGCCCAAAAACGTCCATGAAGCTATTGGAGGCATTGGTGTTTTTTTTCGGGATCTTAGTACACGAACATTATCAGTTGATGTAATATCACAACTGGCATTGAATATTCCAATCTTGTTGTGCAATTTGGAAAAGATCTTCCCACCATCATTTTTTGATGTTATGGAACATCTTCCTGTTCATCTCCCACACGAAGCAGAGCTCGGTGGACCCGTTCAGTACAGGTGGATGTATCCGTTCGAGCGTTTCATGAAGCATCTTAAAGGTAAAGCCAAAAACCTAGCTAAAGTGGAAGGCTCAATTATGGCGGGAAGCTTGACGCAAGAGACTTCACACTTCACTTCATACTATTTTGCACCAAAAGTACGAACACGCAAAAGAGCTACTCGTCGATATGATGATGGAGGAGTTGGCCATACATATGCCGTTGAAGGTGTACCTGACATATTCTCGCCGATCAGACGTCTTAGTGGAAAACTAAAAGATGTTTGGTGGTCCAATGAAAAAGATTATCACAGTGCACATACGTATATCCTGTTAAATTGTATGAGTTGAAAGGTACCTTTTTAATTAATAATATTTTTATATGAGTTGTCAGTATTAATAACTATTTGTTGTTTTTCTCAGCACATTTGTTGATGAGGTTAAAGAATGCATACCTGGGATTTCTGAAACTGAAATCAATGATTGTAAAGATCAATACTATGCCCAGTGGTTAAAAGGACAAGTACGTATTAAATTTTAATTAAAAGACTACTTTAATTTGCTATATATCGAAATCAAGAAATAAAAGCAGAATTTTTTTCTTATTTGGTGGACCCGAATGATCTGGATGAATTTCCAACATGGTTCCATGAGTTACTACTAGGTCCGATGGCAAAAATAACTACAGCCTCAATGTATTTCACTCGGGGCTATGTTTTTCACACATACCGTCACGGTGCAAAGCGGGCGACAACTAACTATGGAGTTTGTGTGAGGGGTGAAATCGATTTTTATGGAGTTGTGCAAGAAATAATTGAAGTAGAGTATCCTGGATTGTTAAGGCTGAAAACTGTTCTCTT